GTCTTCATCAGGCTGTTAAAATTCTTCCATTGCTGGCACTTCAGCTCAGGAAACAAATGTGTCACACCAATGCCACTTCACACTTCTGCCAGGCCTCAGGAGCACCCTTACTCTGTAACACACCCTGTGCATAAGCTCTGGCTCTTCCATTTTATCCCCACTTGTGATCACTTTAACAGTCTGAAGCAAACATATCTGATTTTCTTGAAGCAGTTCACATAATTTGAAAATCTGACCTCTGTGTGTGTGTGTGCGTGTGTGTTATTTTTTAACTGTGGTAAAGGGTCATGCCGAGAGCATATCTTTGCAGGCCTTATTAGTAGTAAAGAAAGTCCTTTCGGTGACTCAGCATYTAAATAAAAGCCCTTTTTCTTCCTGCTTCCTGAGTACTTGCAAGGAATCTCAATACAAGGAAACTGCATTCAGAAAAATACTAAAATAAAAGGAACTAACTGCTGTCTTAAGGCTCCCCTTTCCCAAGGCTAAAAACTAAGGATAAAACTATCCCATTTGTTCAGTTAGAACAACAAAGAAGTTGTCAGTCACATTGGCCAGTCCCAGAATAAAGTTCCAGGAACAAGTAACTATTTTAGCCAGGTATATTGGTTTTTTCTGTGCTGATAGTGCCAAGCACAATCAGGTCACTTTGCCCATATACCTAAGCACCAGAGCTCACAAGGATTTGGGGTCAGCCAAAAGGGCAAGACGTGGTGCCATGGGGCTGTCTGTGCCACACCAGTGCTGTGATGATGGATATGGAGTCTCAGCAGYATGTGGGTGCAGTCAGCTGAAAGGGGTGAGGATTTGTGCCCATCAAATTGCCTCTGCTGGTCCCCAGCAAGCTGGGACAAGGGGCTGTCGGAGATGATGCTTGAAGTCACCAGGCAGAGCTGAGCCTGCAAGAGGGAAGGACAGCATCTCCTCCATCAYCACTGCTCCTGCATGAGCAGTCTCATGCCCCCATGCTCACTGCAAGTGCCATGGAAGACTGAATTTCACCACAACATGCTGACTTCACTTTTACCTGTGCTCAGRGGTGAGGCACAAATGTGCCATTAAAGCTTGCATAAAGCCCTACAAGTAGCCATGAGGATTGCTCCAGTGAGTGAGTTTTGTGCTTCAAGTCCTTGTTTTGATTTTCAAAGTGTTGTTTTTCCTTTAATAACAAGGAAGATGTAATGTTTATGGTTTAATTGTTCTTTATRGGGCCTCCATGTGAATTTTGCCCATATCTGATTTGGCTTGTGAGAAAAGGGGGGGATTTTTTTTCCTGTTTTATGGTTTTATAAAGATTTGCAACAAGAAATTTTATGTCATGTTTGTGTTAGTCGTCATACAAATGGCAGTAATAAGAGATGAGCATATTTGTTCTGTTTTTATGATGATATGCTATAATGTTAAAATAGGAATCTCAAAGTCCAGTATACCATGTTGAGGCCATGGTTGTTACAAGGTGCTCTCCATTCACTGCCTAGTGAATAGACAAAGAGAAATGCAGAGAGGACTGTGGGAGCTATTTATGTCTGTGAAAGACACCACGCAAATCATTCTCATACTTAATTTTATCTAATTATTAGTATGGATTTTTGTAGGCAGTAGAATATCTGCTTATCAAATACCACTTGGAAATTCATTAGCTCAGCCATGTTCTGAAGTTAAACATGTAGAGATTTAGCCAGCTCAGTGAGTCACRATTTCAGTAACTGCAAAAGACAGCTCAGTGCATTTAGAACTAATATCACAATTAACACTTCAGAAGCCTGCCTAAGTAACAGAACCACCCAAAACAATTATATAGATGTTTTTAGTAACCAGGGAGTAGTATTTACTGAACAGGCAAGAATCCTCTTTATAAAAATCTTCACGTGCTGTTGAGACTGGAAGTGACTGGTTAAACTACGCGTGCAGAAAGGTTTAACTCTCCCAGAGCAGCACCAACATTACAGAGGGGAGCAATACAATGCAATACAATGGCTTCCTTTGCTCCAGAGAGGGGCAGAGCTGAGAGGTCAAGGGAGGTGCTCATCGTTGTATCCCCTGTCTTGACGGAGAAGCAAGTGTCCTGCTGGTCTCTCCTGGGCTCTGCCAAAGGCTTTAAAAGCTGTGGGACCATKCTGTTACTCTTGCCCTCTAGAATAAAAGGATGAGTAAATGTTTTTAAAAGGCTCTTGTGATTATTATGAGGTAATTCTTGGTAAAGTCTAATACCTTGGTTTTGTGATCTTACCCCAAGTGAAGGCCAGCTGAAATTTTCATGGTCTTTGCATCTATGAGGATGTTGAGGTTGCATGGTAATCCTGGGTTTAGAAAACGAGTTACAAATGCTTGTCCTTGCTATCATGCAATTCGTTCATCCATCCCACATCTGAATGTTTATCAGGACAATTTAGAAAAAATGGTTCTGTGTGCTCATGTGAACACAGAWGAATCATGAATAACAGAAGTATGAATCATGATCCAAAGGATTATTTTGTACTTTGGGCATCCACTTGCAGTCAGGCTACTTCACAGAAGTCAGAGCTTGTGTATGACTGTAGTTTGACACAAAGTTTTAAACTTATCCCAGAATGTAAAGTTCTGGTAGTGCTTGCAGAATGCACATTAGCAAGAACGCAGAACGAATCTCTGAAAGGAGATGTCTGGGTGTGCAAAGGGCGACACTGCTGCCAGCTATACTGCCTGTTCCTCCCATGTCCTTACTAGGAGTGTCAGTTAACTTATTGTACCCTTTTTTTGTCAGAAAGGATCTATTTTAAGAATTCACAAGGGCCAATGGGGAGGAAGGAAACGCCCTGCTCTTGCTTCTCTCCTTCTTTCTATGCCCTGTCCTAGAGTTACTGTTATCTTCTTCATAGTGGCTCTCATGGCACATGGGACGGTTGTACAGGAGGAAGGAAAATGTGGAAACTTTGCTGTAAATCAGTCTTGGATCAAGGGAAGTGTGTTAACTGCACAGTATCTCCTTTGAAGCCTGGCCAATCCTGAACTGCATGCAGTCAGTTTCTTCTCCAGGTGAGGCACTGGGTGTGCGGGGCTCACAAAAGGGGGTGCTGCATGGTGCTGTGAGAGGGCATCTCTGTGAGAGAATGTCACCTACCGGGGGATTCGGGCGGCTGCACATGTTCTGCCAGCCAACCTTGAGGAGACGTGTTCCAGGAGAAGAGGCAGAAGCCCCGTGCAGGGGTAGGGAAGAGCAGCACAGGCAAGTACAGCCCTCCACCCATCCCCCTCGGCTGCTTCCACTGGCATGAAACTTGTCAGTAAGATATAGCCTAAGAAATAGAGTAGGAAAAATCTGGAAGCATTTTTTGCTCTCCTTCCTTATTTCTTATGTTCTTTTTTTTATTTTTATTTTTTTTTAATTTTCATTTATTCTCCCTTTAACTCCTCAAAGGGTTTTACAAAGGAGAGACAAGACTGCCAACCCCTGTTCATTTTAAAGRGAGGAAAAACTGAAGTGCAGGGGTTTGTGAAGGTTTCTGATGGCAGCACCTCATGATGCCTCGCTTTRTTTCAGTTCCACAGCAGCATCTACCGCCAGAAGTGGCAGCTGCTACAGGACAGCAGCATCTCCCAAACCATACTGGGGCGCAACTGAGAGCTGTCTGACACATAAACTGCATTGAGATGGCTTTTATATCAGAAGTGCAAGTGCAGCAATTTGACTTCAATTTTCTTCTTGACAGTTTGAGGTGTCACTGAGAWGAAAAAGCCTGGTGATGGGAGCTCCCTGCTCTTGAAGGGGCCCCCAGTGAGAGTTTGGGCTGCTTCTGCAGGCTGGCTGAGCTCACAAGCTGTTAGCACAGGGTTCATCACAGCACCACACTTAAGGGAACAAGACCCATAATAAGACATTAAGTGTTTAGCATGTGCACAGATTTATGTCACTCTTATGTGCCTGAAACAACGCTACTCCTGCTCACTCAAACTCCCTCCGTGTGTGTTTCACACTGACCCATTCAGCTCAGATATAAGTGATCCAGTATCTGATCTCAAGCCAAGAAGAATATTTTTTTTTTACCAACAAGAATCTGTTTTCTTCTCTACAGTCATGGGGAAATGATGAAAATTGTGTTGATAAAGTGTTCAGGATTRTTCAGTGGCCTTTTTTAGAAATTGTAAACTCTTTTTTTCACTKACACAAATGGTGCCTGCATCAACTCATTGTACTGAAACAGGCAATTGTTTACTGAGAGCATACCAAAGGCTCTCAGTTTTTCACATTCAGTCAGAAATACTCTACTCCATAAGAGCTGTGCTCACGTTTGGGGCTCACACTATTTTAAATACATAAGTCTCAAGACAGTACTCCAGTGAAATAGTGCAAAAGCGTTTCTTATTGCTGTTTTTCAAAGTTTTAAGTAGCAAAATTCCCACACTGAAAGCCTAAATGGGCTCTCCCGTTAAGAACAGTAATCTATAAAGAAGTTTTCTTTCTTTTCTCTGTAGTCTGAAGACTTTTGTTGATAAGCTGGTTGATGAAAATGTAGAAGAGCTTTATTTCTTGTGCACAAAATTTTGAGCAAGTTGGTAACAGCTTGCACATAATTCTTAACATTTCAGTATACAACCCCTCAATGTGTAATTAGTGGTCCTCTTATGATAGCTTTTGTTTTAGAAAATCCACTTYTGGTGAGTTTCAGAGCTCACCAGAGCTCTGAACATTTTTATGCCTAAGCTTTGAAAAGAAAGTGAAGAAACACACATCAAAGGCTATTCTTAAGCACAAGAAGYCAGCATTTCAGGACACTATAATTCAACACAAAGAGTAATAAAGTGGTTACTGTGGCAATGGCTTTGATTTATGAAGACAACAAGCCTGGTAATACAGATACAGCAAAAGCTGTAAGAGTTTTGAATGTGAATAAATATCTCCTAAAATAACATTGTACATTCTAAGCAGAGTTTGAAAACTCCTGTGCTGGGAGTTGTCCAGGTTCCCCAGAGTACAGGGCATGTTGCTGTGTATTTATTAGTCAGTCTCTCTTCTCAAAAGTCAAACACAGAAAGAGATGAAGGTAGGTGTAAACACAAGGCCTCTTTATTTTGTTTCAACAGTACATGACTTCCTATTTAGCATGACCAAAACCAAGCAGAACAGTGGAAATCGCATATACCATTTCTCTTAATACATTGTTCTTCCTTGAAACTGCACAAGTACAAAAGGAAGGATTAAAACAACATTAACTCCAGTAGGCATTTTCACATGAACCAGAGCTTATGCACAACAGGTGACAAGCAGACAAATCAGCGTCAGATAAACTTACTCCAGCAAGATGTGAACTCTCCTTTGGGGAAAGAAAATTTGTCTAGAAGGAAGGGATTCAAGCATCCTCAGGTAAGGAGTACATGYTAATGCTTTCCAAAAGCTTCATCAGTGAAAGTTGTTAGAGGGGTACACAGTCCAGCTCCAAACCACAAGGTCAGACAAGACGCAGAATTTACAGCTTTCAGAGGTCACTGGCCCCTTCTCCTACAGGCTTATCTCCAGGGAGCACACAGTATCTGTGTGCCTAGGAGCCTTGGCTAAGGAAAGCCGCTGGTCACTTAAGTGCAGATCACGGTAAAACATTTTTATGTTTTTGTCAGCTGCTCACAGTTTATGTCCTAGTCCTGACTGAGTTTAATTGTTACCAGTTGACTCAAGTCACTAAGCCAGATCATTGAGTCTAAGAGCTATGCAAACAATAACATCTACCACCTGGCGGGACAAATATTTTGAGCTGAGGCATTAGGCAGGCTTTATCCTTATCCCTTTCCCAGCTCCACTCCTTTAGCATAGCTATTTTCAAACTAAGACCAAGTCTATGAGAAACCACAGGCCAGTGCCAGAATTAAAGCTAACACACACTTCTGAGTCATGACAGGGTGAAAAAGTGAGGGTCTGGGCATGACTACTGCATTCACTTCTGCAGAAGTGACTGCCTCTGCAGAAGCCACAAGAGACCTTCTTGCTTGGAGCACACAGATTCTGGGCATTTTCTAAAATAGAATTTCCACTGAAGTTTCCAGGAAGCTGCTTCCCAAAAACATTGCTCAGCCTTTCCACAAAAACTAACAATTCTATTAACTTACATCAGCAGATTGTTGTTAATATTGCTGATGTCCTCTTGGCTTCCCAAAAATAATTTTTGTTGATGTTGTTACATTTTTTCACACCTTGCAGTTGTGATTTGCTGGTTTCTCACTTGAGAGAAAYACGAGTTGTTGCACAGGTAGTGCAAGGGCTTAACCCCCCCCCCCCAATTTTAAGCCAAAGTCCAAGTATTTAGAAGTTCTGTATTAGATATATGACTGTGTAATTTAAAGTGAGCTGTGGTCTCAGCAAGGAACTTTATTTTTAAATGATTTCTAAACTGGTTTGCATTCAGCCACATCAGTCACATCAGACCCTTTGTCCTGTGCTGGGCTCAGTGATCACTGCATCACCAGGCACATGACAGGGGATAACATCTGGGGCATGCACGAACAGAAATTTTTCACGAGGACAGACTAATTCAGCTTCTGTTCTGGCCAGTGCTAGATGTCACACAGGACAGGTGAAGAGAAAACGTTTTGTGCCCTTGCATTATGTTCTTTCTGGGGCCATTACAGATAATTTTGATTTAAATTTTGAGGTAAAGATCTAGAAGTTGCAAAACATTACATAATTATGTCATGAGCAGATATTTGGGCTTATATTATTAGGCATTTAAGCAATTGCTTTGGAAACCTGGTCAGGTTTTGGACCTCAATAACTTTTAGARGGAATGATATCCATGATTTAACAGAACATTTCCTGAGAATGTATCCTCTTTACTGAGCATTTCCCACCTGAAATTTCACTGACATGTCATCGTCTTTCTGTGAGTTCCTCTCATCTATCTCCTTTCTACTTTGCAGTATTTTGTATTCTGCTACCACTCTTTTCAAATATCTTCTGCAATACCTTTTTTCCCTGTCCTTGGGGATGGTGCTGGTAGGGCCAGGAGCTGGACACGATGACCTTTAAGGGCCCCTTCCAGCTCAGCTTTTTCTGTAATTCTACACTGTAATGTTAGGTCAGGTGAGCTGACTCCTACCACATACCACAGTGCAAACAAAACAGCACCACTTATTCATGAAAATCCACAACTTTTGAGTCTATTCACCTTATCATCTGTTATGCATTGTTCCTGGAAATGCTTAAAATAATATTTTTAAACAGCATATCTGAGTAATGACATTAAAATATTTTCCTTTTAAAACCGGAATATTCTTTGAAGGAACTTGGGCTTTTTTGTTTTTATAGACTTATGTATTCTTTTTAAATTAATAATCAAGAATAGCCATGTTCTCTTTTTGCTCAATGAAACTGTAGACATTTAACACGAATACCTTTTSCTAACTTGCATTGCACTATCATAATTATATTCTAAAAAATTCTACTTATCTGCACTTACTTTTAAATTAAAATATTACTATTCAAGTTCACAAAACCATCATAATTTTTTTTTCATCCATGAGTGTATAATCAGGCACAGACTTTTAGACAGGGTCATTTTAAAATTCCTTTTTTTCTAACAGGAAGTCCACTTACTGAAAAATTCAGTGCAATGAAAAAATACACATCTTTCCCCGTACAAAACTTTAGGATTGCACAAAAAATACAGCATAAATATAAACAGTAGGCCAAGGCAACATTTTAAAGTGCAGAACTCCACTTGCCACATATGAATAATTCAAATAATGCTGCATAATGCATAGGCAATTCTTACTCATATTTCAAAACCTAAAGTGACACAATGAGATCAACATATAACAGTAATTCAAATACATTATATTTATACTAAATAAGTGCTCATCTGACCATAGAACACAGTAAGCATATTGTCCCAACAAGCAAGCTCTACACAAATACCCTTTTTTCCCTTTGTCTGAATGGTGTGCTACCACTGAACATAAAGRCATACCAAGAAAGAAACATCCCATCCACCAACTGGTAAGAGAACWCGTGGGGACACACATCTGGAGTCTGTTGCATGTATGTTTTTCCAGAGGTTTTATTTCAAGTCAGTCAGTTTATACTGTCATATGTGTCAATTTATACTGACTGAAAATTGTCCCTTTATTTCCTTCCACATACTCATATCCCCTTAGTGTTCAGTTGTTAAATTTTAATTTCTTTTTTTGTGGTGGGGGATTATGGGGAAAAGGGAGGAAAGTGGAAGAAAATTGCCTCAAATTGTATTCAGCTACTAAGGTCTTGGAAGGGATGAGAACAGAGGGGGAATAGTTCAAGTTCTAGCCTCCATTAGCATTTTGGTTTGAGACAATAGTGCTGCTCTGAATTCCCAATCATTCTCCCTTATTGAACCTTGATCCAGCTTGCAGGGTGGTTTTGGTACACAAGAATTAAGTTTAATTCAGGGGAAATACACTGGAGGCTCAGCTGCCCTCCAAACAGGCTCTCTCTAGGGGACACTCAGAGTCTGAACCCATTTCTGGGCCAGCTTCGAAGTGCAGATACAGCAGGGGCATCTCCCCAAGGAAACAGGACATGTGTAGTATTGAGCTGTAGATGTGTAAGTCTCAGCAGTAACTGCTTTAATCCACCGATCCTCACCCACTCTAATAAAYATCTTCCCAAAACTACACACAGGCAGAGGATCCCAGAGACCAAAACTTCACMGTGGGATCCTTAGTTACTTTCTTAAAATTACTTCAGGGAAATCTGACAACTACACCTCTATAGGACCTAAAACCTTAAAATCTCTKTGCGTAAGCCATCTTCCACTGAACAAGCCTTTGGGACTGCCTCAGATGACCCCACTTAACTTTTCTGRCAGTACATTTTTTCTCCATTCAATTCTAATTAAGATGTTGCTGTCTTACAGTAAATTTGTTGTATGAATTCCCCCACTGGCSTCCTCAAACATCAAATTCAGACTTCTTTCCTTTACCCTAAGYACCTCAGCATTTAATGTAATGCTATCTGTCTTGGTCCTCGCTCCTCCTGGTCTTGGGCATTGCAGCCCACAGCACTGCCTGCAGGCAGAATTCCTCCTCCAGCTGAGATTCTTAAAAAAATTATTTTCTTTCTCTAAGTCTGAGTAGTCTCTGGATACTAGACATGAACAAAGCTGTAATCAAAAGGGGAGTAGCTACCTTGTCCTTGAATTTCACAAGAGTCAAACTTCTCATGACACAGTGAACATTCAGATACAAAGCTCACTGGTTGCTGTTTTCCTGGAGAGTCCCCTTGAMCTGGCCCAGCAGTGTAGTCCTGAACTTGCCAAAGTTTTAGTGTGTTCCCAATTTGTGAATAAGCAACCTGTCCACCCCCAGGAGTATTTTAGGAAGAAATTCTGAATTCCTTCATTAAGAACACAACAAACTAATGGGAAAACAAATCAGAGACAGTTAAGACTACCACTAAAATAAAAGCATTGATTTAGTTCATAGCTCTGGAGGCAACAAAGTAGGGCACTAGCATACATTGTACAAGAGGCTGTGTGATCTTTCTCCACCACAGGAAAGCCAAAGCTGAAAACCATGTAATTCCCTAAAAATAGTTTCATACACTAACTGGGAGGATCAAAACATGTGTCTCACAGATCTTTGGTTCTGAAATGTGAAGTTTGGTCAATTAAATTCATGTCAAAATTCATGAGAAAAAAATGCTCCCTGAATCAGGAAACCAAGTTAAAGAGCTGAAGATTGCTATTTGCTGAACATGTGTGCTACTGTGTAGGTGATTGGGACACAGGAAAAACAATGGTTGAGAAAACACCCTGATGGAATGTGTAAATATTAATCCTTAGATCTGGACTCCTAAAGCCTTAGAAGTGACTGAAGATGAAGGGCAGGAAGGCCGTACCTGGGCMAGCGGTGGCACATTGCAGCAAGCCAGCAGATACCTGAGCGAGCTCTCGGTGAGCGGCTGCGTTCCTGATCCTGCAGGACATCTGCTTCTTGTTCCTGCTGTTTGGTACGGGCCCTCAGCTTTGGCAAAAAAACCACACTGAATAGACTGTACTGCGTTAAGTGCCCAAATTAGCTGTTACACTTCCCCTGGATGCTATGCTGTCTGTGTAGGCATAATCATAACAATACATAAGCTCTAAAAATGCTTTTAAAGTCGGAACATTGTGAGTGACGTTGGGCCAAGCACTCTCTCTGAAGTAGACAAAAAGTGATACTTTGGTGCAGTGACCTCCCTTGTTTTGTGAACAGAGGTAAGTCCTATATCCCCAGGCAGTGAGAAAGAAGTGCAAAACAAGGTTTAGTGAAATCAAAAAAGTTTGAAGCAGGCCTTAAAAACATATCCAACACACATTTACAGTAGCTAAACACAATACCAGTATCTAATGACCCTGAAACAAAAGCTTACATCCTTTGTGTTGCAAAAAGGTAGTAGGGAAACAAGAAGCAATCCCCTCCTCAAACAAATCACACAAAAAATAACGAAAAAACAACTAGCTCTCTTAAAAAGCAGGGAAATATGCCTTTTTAGGAAAGGAAGTCACACGGATTTCCAGAACAAAAAGGGCATATTTTTTACTGGAACCCCAGAATTGCACAGGGCTGGAGTTACGGCTGCCACRTTGAAAGACACAGAGCACATTGAAGCTGAGCTGCGTTTTTCAGTGATGATTTGCACCTCAAGTCAAAGGTGGTAATGGCCAGAAAGAGACCATTTCTCTAGGAAAATTTTTAAATGTACTCACTTCTCTTACAGAAAGAAGGGACATCATATCATCCTGTCTGAACAGCCAGGAGCAAATGAGATTGGGAAGGTTCTGCAGGATACTGAGCTAGTCCAGAAAACCTCTTGATTTGTTTGCCATTGTGTGGCCTGCAGAGATATCTTAGTGCCTGCTTTCAATTTAGCAGAAGTTTCATTCAGCTGTCATTCAGATCAAGGTAGTTCAATGATTTTTTGGTCAGTCTGACTATAAATGATGATTATGAAGTCTTTGATAAGGARCCCTATTTATTTATAAACACACACTTCTTACTTAATTCCTTTTAAAAATAATGCTTTAAATTAACTTTTTTTTTATAGAGCTCCCAGGAAAAACTGAAAACTACTGAACATTCTCCAATATGACACTGATTTTTCCATATTTKATGATAATATTATGGAAATTGCATTCTTCCATTATATTCATTACCTGCAAAATCAATTTACTGGCACTGGGGTTTTTAAAAAAATTCCTATGCATTATAGTTGATGAGCATCTCATTGCTCCTCATAATGCTCCCTATATTGTTATTAGAMAGAATAGCAGGTGTCCTCTTTAAATAAGATATTTATGAAATCCCTTATCAATGCACAGATGCTATTTTAYAAAGAAATTTAAATAGCCATTTCCTTTAGAACTATGAAGATTTTGGTAAAGTCATTCTTGAAAGGTCTAACCAAATTTTCAAGATTTGCAAGTTTTATGACATTAATCAAAAGTGAGGTGTCAATCCTGATGCTCAGGCACTATGCTTAATTAATCTTTTCCAAATCAGATGCAGAATGATCAGCAGAGTATTTTGCAAAAGAGGAGTGGATTTATACAGAGCTTGAAAAAGGAACCACTTGCTTTCCAGCCACATACACTTCAGAAATGTTTCGATCATCACCTGAAATAACATGGTCAAAACAGAGATTTCCACATAAATATATTATTTAATTAATGAAAATTATACAGTCGACAAAATGAGATGGAACACATCATTTGCAATGACCTTTACCTAAGACTAAGAAAGTCCTTTTGGAGAGAAATAGTTCAGGACTGCCACAAAGATCAATAAACATTTTAGCAACCCATGCTTTTGGGAAAATGTAAACATAGCATTCAGCTGCCACAACAGTGTCATGGATTTTCTGTATACTCAGTAYATCCAAACCCCAAAAATATTATGCATCTGTACAGAAAATGATTTGTTGCACAGCATCTGAACTGGCTGGGGAACAGCCAGCAGGAAAGCTGGTTTGACTCAGCCAGCTCCTCAAAAAGGCCAAAATTTGGTTAAAGCACAGCACAGCTGTGGCCAGAGCTGGCACCAGGCACCTCAGCACCACAACACACAACAGGGCAGCCCCAGATATACTCACAAACAAATATAAGCCAATTTTTATTTATTAATGTAAAATTTTAATACTAATGATCAGGGACATGTTAATGTTTATAAAGCAGTTGAATAAATATATTTAATTACTGCAAACAAATACTTACTTTTATAAGTACTTACTTTTATATAAATTAATTTATAATTAAGCCCTACATTTATTTAGACAATGTTTGATGTAGGAAATAAGAATTCTACATGAGTTGAAAATCAAAACATACCTAGATACAGGAACTTCTGGAAGGTATCCTATAAAACAAYGAGAGAAAACAAATTCAGAAAGCATTATCTGCTGTCCCAGATGATAATTATTTGAAGCTTGAAAGAACTGATAAAAACAGTTCTCCTAAATATTCCTAATAACAGTGAATTTAACATACATCATCTATTTTCTGAAAATAAGACAATATTTAAACATTTGCAAAGTCCTAAGGACCAGTAACTTAGCTAAAAAGGTTTTGATCTAAACTSAAAAATAATACCTTTAACAGAACTGGAATTGCTTCCAGGCAGTCTGGTCACATATATAAATTCAAGTAACTGCTCTTAATTATCTTTTTTAGTCAGATAAGGTTTTGGTAAGAGAAGGTGTGTACACACCACAAAGCCAACACTGCTTTGACACTAACATAAAAATTGTGCTTTTAACTCAAATTAGCCATCCTGAGTGCTTGCTTAGTTTTGGAACAGCAGTGAAGAAAAGGCAACCTAACCTTTCTCTGAGAACAAGTTGACATTTTTCAGTCTGAACTCTTAAGTATTGACTAAAGCTGAACTGCTTTTTCTTGGCTGCCATTAGTCACAGAAAATAGGTAACTAATTGTCATCTTGGGCTAAMATGCATTTTTGCTGATGGTGTTACAGGTCTGCCACTGAGGACAGCAAGATTCTGAAGACAAACAAACATAGAAACTCTAGGTTGAAGCTCAGAGAGCAGAACTTTTCCTGTCTGTATCGTGGACCTTCTCCACATAATTTCCATTAATTGTTTTGATCATCAATCCTGTTCTGATTACCTCGAACTCATCAGMGGAGAACAGGTCGAAAGGGCTGTCTGAAGCCTTCGTGTTGATTAGCAGTGCATCAAATTCTTTGCCCACCTCRAAGTTTCCAATCACGTCATCTAGTCCTAGAGCTGAGGAAGAAAATAAGCTCACAAACATGTCTTCAGCCTCTTTCCACCATGTAGAGGTACCTGGCAACTTATTCACAAGGCAAACAAGAATCCTGATGATTACAAGGAAAAACCCAAAACCAAATTCAGTAGTGAGTATGTTAGCACCTGAGTTCTTTGGAAACTTAAGAAACCATTGGTTACATTGCAAAAACTTTCAAACTCCAAATAGGAAAATGAAGTCAAGTCAGAGAAACAGTAAAATCTATAATAACACTCACTTTCCTATGGCAGCATTACATTGTGTTGTTTAAACAGTCTAAGCAGCTTTGAAAGGTTGTGTAGGCTTATTACAACAGTAATATGATATTAAAAGATGTGTCCAGTGAGGACAACTAATTGTAGTTAGTTAGCAGGAACAAAGAATAATATTGTGTGGGCAAATAATCCTAGCCAGATCTGAAGGTCTCATACTTACCTGTAAGGCTTGTCTTGTTGTTTATTATTCAKCAAGTTTCATTACAACCTCAGGTTCTAAGGTCCACATGCCCTGAAAATCTACACATTCATATTCAAGCCTGAGTGCTTACAAGCACACTAAAAAGAGGCCTTTGTGTCTCCTTAGAAATAAATTAAGMTAGTTTTAAGTTGTACGAAGTATCTAAGAATTTTATCAATTCTTCCAATACTCTGAAATTCAGTTTTCAAAGAGCATAATATTTGCAAATAATTTGTTCATTTSATTTCAGATTGCTCTGACAAAGGAACTTCAGCCTTCAGTGAAATTTGTGAGTGGCAAGAATATCATTATATCTTAAAGAGGTTTAAACTCCTACAAATTATGAAATAATTTTATTAGCTGCTACTTTTAACTTAAATGGTCTCATATTCCTTCAGGTTTTTGATCAGAATGCAATTTTTGGATTAAACACCAGAGGGTGACAAGTGTTTAGGAGTCTTAACAGCAAATTATTCCAACAAAGGATCACTCATTTAMATTTACGCTACTGAAATTTTCATTTTCATTATCCAGGCTACTGAAAGCTTGTAGAARTAATTAATAGTCTACCCTCAAAAGTGACTCAGTAAGGATAAAACAGCTTAAAATTGATAYACAAAATTAACACTTTACTAAGGAAACCCAATATAGAAAAAGCACAAGAGTAAATGAAAAACCACAAATGAGTTTGGGATTTTTAGAAATTTTCCTTTCTGTGTCTCAGCCACTTTATTCTCACATTTATKTATATGTTGCAGGAAAAAAAGAACCCTTTTTTGTTCCCTGCCTATCTTCCATCTTCTCTATYTCTCCCATTACACTCTCCAGGAATTAAAATACAGACCTGAGAAGACCTGTTTGACGACATTTTCACTACATCTTTCAAACTTCCATTAGTAATTCCCAATGGAGCTTTTTGACACCTGCAGAGATGCTGCACTGAAAAGATTTGGACCCAGTGCTGTAGCAGGTAGGGAGTTCATTTCTGCTAACTGAAATAATAATAGGTTTTCATTATGTGTGGATTTCCTCCCTGCAAAATCATACCAGTTCCACTACAAATTTTTAATTGTATATATTGCTATGTGCACACTGACCATGGCAAAACTGGTTATCCACCAGGATAACCCACGTGCTACATGACTGCATTCTGCAGATGCAACTCTGTCTCCAACAGCCGCGTAGGATATCCTGTTTACATTTTCTGCTTTTCCCTGAGTGAGGAGTGATTTGCATGATGTTTTCATTTGCGACAAACTGCCTCACTGACAGCTCAGAAAGCACAAGCAAAATTAGAAACTGATGACAAATAGAATGCATGATTTTACAGTAATTGCAGTTTTTCTTCTAGGTGATGGTTGCTGAGGAAACAAATTTCCAGCTGCTAAAATAAATAGACAAGCACCTATGACCTTATGACTAATAAGTCTGAGGATTTTTGCAAAGCAAATGTACAAGCCTGAAAAGCTATTAAGATTTTGTTGTTAAACCCTCAATAATAGAGTACTCTTCTCTAATAAGCCTGGTATGGGTATGAGAGACTGAAGGATTATCTCTGCCCACCAGTCAGATTTCATTCTGGCACCAGAAAATACATGAATCTCCCAAAATGACAGGAAGACATATAATAAAAAAAAAATTGTAGCTCTCTATGTGCACACTAAAGAATTTTCCTCTTACCTTGGCTTCCTCCCAGAGTGGCAAGCTGAAAAGCTTGTTGAAGAGTTAGTCCTGTTTCATTCACACCATTGATCTGAATAGTATTAGATGCCACCATTGTTTTCCTTATAGCATCAAGCATAGAAGATGAATATCCACCAGCAACATCTAGACGGGATTAGAGTTTTAGAAACAAGTTTTGGGCATAATTCTCTATGTTAAACTTCTATCAGCCTTGATCAAAAGTTATGAAGAGATATATGTGGTAAAGCCAACAAGTTCTGCTGGTAAGCACTGTCTCTGAAGGTGTAATTCCCAATAAAGGCWCTCTCACACAGTGAATAGAGCACAACAGAAAAACAGAAACCTGAAAAGTTGTGGTTCATGCCCTGTTTGAGTTTCAAGCTCACAACAGGAACAAAACTCTTCACAAATTTTATGTTTTCTTTTTAAATGGTTTCGAACCAGCCCTAATTTCAATACTACAGACTTCCTTACTCTAGTGAAAAAAAAGGAGAACTGAAAGTTGGAGATATGCTGGTTTTTAAATATGAACAGGTGAATGTTTTGGTGTCTCCCAAAAGTTTCCAGAAACCACTTTTACACCAAACTACTAACCWGTGCCAAGACCAAGCTTCACATTGTGTTCGAGAGCCTTCTGCACATTTAAGACACCACTGCGCAACCTGGATTAGAAGAAGAAACACATTCTGTGAGACACATGTAGAAAAAAATTTGAAAAAGCAGGGCTGCAGAGCCATTTATGACAAAGAGTCTCCTTTTAGGTGTCCAAGATTTGGTTTATTATTTATTTTGGCTGGATCCCATGCAGTATCTCATGTCTGCTCAACAGAAAGAAGAATATATGGTCCACCCCCCAAAATTTTAGGAGGGAAGGGATGCCTTGAATCTATCACTAACACAGCAGTCAAAAGAAACAGATTTTTAGAAAAGAAACATTTATATATATGCAGTGTAGATACAGATGCAATAACTAGACTGAAAGACCAGAAATCAGCCCAGAGCACACTATGGCAGAACTGTATGATGATATGATGCTCATGGTCATGTTCAATCCAATATGTCATTTATAGTGTAGTGATGGATCAGACACATAGCTTTGCAGTGGCAGCGTCAACTCAGGGTACTACAGGAACAACAGCTTTATTTAATTACACACCATTCTTATTTTATTTTTCTGTTTTTCTTATTTAACTTACGAAAAGTTAGAATTGGGGCAGTGTGAGATTGCAGCTCCATGATCACTAAAAACTTTCAGCTCTTCTTCAGAAAGATAACAGGCATGAGCCATCACTGTCTAAAGAAAAGAGAATCACAAATTTACTCAATATTGCATTTACTTCTGTGGCTTCAAGGTTTGCTGCACTGCTTTAAATAGCCAAGAAGGACATGCTGACATCAAGTGAAATTAATGCACTTCTTGAATGAAGCTCTTAAAATACACAAGGGAAAAACTGATTACCTTCAGCATGCCTGACATATCATTCCTTCAGCTTTCTTCCATTTTTTAATTTAAGAATACAGATTGCTTGCTCTTGCAGTGACTGCTGTGACCTAAGAGCTCCAAGGAACAAAAGCAAGAACTCTGCAGCKGTCCTAGCACTGCAGCAACCTTTACAATTTGTCTTTTGTAGCTAATACAGAGATTCAGTACTGGTGCTAGGAGTACATCAGATGCAACAGAAGATGTATGTACTCTTAGCATGTGTCCCATTGGCTCTCTAAAAGTTTGCACCACAGGAAGAGAGAGAGAGAGAGAGAGAGAGATATTAAATATTCTTTAAGTAAAATAATCTAATTCTTTTATGTGACTGATAAATTACTTTTATTTCTTAGCCTACATAGCTGACCTTAAAAATAAGTTCAAAGCAAAGCATAGAACTATAGGATAGGATAATTTAATAAGTATGTAAACCAATTATTCCCACACAAATCTAATTGGCATTACCTCATATGCCAAATGCCCTCTGAAAGATAAGAGCAAGAGCTCTGTTAGGTTTTGCAATCTGCTCATAAAATTGAGAATGACACAGAGGCTGTTTCCACTGAGCATCTCCTAACAGCACTGCACCCTTGCCATCCCTATCTATCAAGCTCAGTGTAGCTGAACGTGCAARGACAATAGCCATGTCTTCAGTTAAGGACCTACAGGTGGTGGCTGCTGAGATACATACCTGCCAATCTGTACTGTTTTATAAAGAAATATTTCAGAAACAGCTCTGAGAAAAACTGCTTTTAAAACACTTTCAAAAAAAATTATTTTGTGTCTTAGTTTGGATGTGYAGGGTGAGAAGTACATCTGAGGTTCTGTTATGCTTGTGTTTAACAGAATGCTTTCCCAAGCAACCAGAAGCCTGACTCCAGAAAGCACAAGTACCCATGATCTTTCATGACCATTTTCACTTGTGTGCACATAAAAGTCTGACAGAATTAAGATTTATGCTCTTGCAGCCCAAAAATACTCTTTAGAACACTCCCTAACTCATCAAATCAGCATGCAAAGGACTGTGCTAGAAAACAAAAATACTGTGTGCATATCTCAGTRGTCCATATTGATTTCTCAAAGGACAGTGAACAACTAATTTACTGGGGTACAGTTTCAGAAATGGGGGTTCAGTAGCTAATTCCCAGGGATTTTCCAGCTGCCCCTTGTGCCTCTGAAAATTCTCTCCTAAATTTTTTAATGAACTTTACTGATGTTTAAGTACTCTGACCATAGTTAGGTTGTTCAAATCCACTTTTGCATGTGCACTCCACTGTCTAATAAGGTGTACCCCAGCACCCCAACCTGTGATTACTGTGGGCAGTACAATTATCACAGCAGCATAAAGCTCTAATGAGTTTCAGCTCTTCAGGCTGGTGTAGCTCTCCCAGCTTGGTAAAATCACCTGGTAAAATGAGATGAAAGYGCTTTTGCATAGTCAGAGCAATAAGTGCACCTGTCTGCAAGCGAGGCTGATGCTCAGAACTCAACAGGGAGGCCTGGCTCCCCACAGGGAAAAATGAAGTTGGTCCTACGATAACACCACAGAAGAAATCTACAGGCAAACCAGTGTGCGAGAACATCATAATATAAGGATAACTGATTATTGTCCAAGAATTACCATTTCCCACATGACCAGCTTTATCTAGTCTTCTAATCTCACTGCCCTAATTCTCTTTGGAGCCTTTGGAAAATTGATCAGGGAGCATAAAATACATTTATTCTTCACCTCCKCAAAGGTACTTAGGAACAGTGTTGGCTCATCTAAAGACCCCAACAGAAAACATAAAATTAGTTTTGCAGATGTCACTGACCTTGACAAAACAACACAGATTTTTCAGGTAAATACTGTAAAACATCATATTCTCCACGTGGATTAATCTAAGTTAGGCTGGGAAAGTTTTTATGTGCCTACCTTGCTGGTTAGCAGCTTGTTTTTATCATACAGTTCRGTGTAATTCTGGTAGGCAGGAAACATCTCCTTCACAAGTTTGACTTCATCTTTGCTCTCACTTATGTGACTCTGCAATAAGAAAATGCATAGCAGTGAGCCCTTTAAACAGCACTGAACCTGACATTACAACCTCCTGAGCAATCTATCTGGTGCTAAACACACATTCAGTAGTATTTGTAAAGCCTCCAGCTAGATTCAGTCCTTTTTTCTGTAAGACACAAAGAAGTTTTCATGGGTAGCTCCACTTGTTCCCCTAAAAGCTATATGAGATGGCGTGCATGTCCATCCCAGCAGCATGGGGACACAATGGCCCACTCAGCTTTTGGAAGATGTTAAGATAATAAATAAAATAATATATGAAATATGACTCTGAGGTAAAAGAGAGAGCAAGARTGGACGCTGAGATGTGGGCAGCAGGCAGGCAGCTCCTCCTGAAGGTACGTCCAGATGGTCAGCGTGCTGCATGTCCACACCACCMAAACTGCACACAGAGCTGCTGGGGCTCACCTGCACATGGAGATCGTGAGTCTCTGCTAAACCACCGAGGGCACTCAGCAAGTCCTCTGTGCAGGAGGGGCCRAAGCGGGGGGTTATTATGGGCTGCACTCTGGGATACTGAAAATAATAAGACAGATTTTTGTATTACACATGTATATTTCCGTAACTGTAAGACTAGCTCTTACATGGCAATTATATTTTGTCTTCATTGCTTATTGCTTACTGCATCCTTGCCAACTCAAATTAAGCTGTATGGTAGTAGTAATGTCCTTGCTTGCATTAGACATTCCATGGCAGAAACAGAGAATTAAAATGGGGGTTTCTTAAAACAATTTTAATGAACTTTATTAATTTGTTTTCATTAGAATCCTCATCAAGTCACTGAGATTTTACCATCTTCAGCAGCACTGAATAGTGTTTCATATCTGCTGACAGTCCTGTACTCACGATGAGAAATAAGCCAGTTGAATGACCCAATATTTTAAGTCCCACTTCTGTGACCATTGAAGATACAAGGATGCAAAACAGCATGCTTCTGTGAAACCAAAGCCATTTTCCTGCTCAGTTTTCTCTACTTGCAGTAGCAACAGACTGTCCCTATACTCCCTTGATGGGAAGAATAGTGGTATAACCAGATCTTCTACACAGTAGGAAACAGTGGACAAGACACCAAGACCTACAGAGACTTACACTTTACACTCTAGATTAACATTTTCATAAAAATGTGGGCAATAGCATTACAATTCTGCTGTCAGTCAGAGGCAAGAGTCCTGCACAAGCCAGTAAGTGATAACGTGGACTGCATTTTTTCGTTTCATCTCCCAGAAAAAAGGAGCTTGGGCCTTTGTAAATTAGCCAGCTCATTCTATTGATACATGTAGCTTAGGCATAAACTCAAGGCATCTGCTCTCCAATATTTTGAGGTGGATGTCAAAAGAAGCCACTGAAAACTAAAGGCTGATAAGAAAAGYACTACTGCTTTTCACATTGGAGTGCAAACCTCTATCCTTACCACAGGAGTGTAAGCCTATATCTCTTTAGAAACACACTGTAAGATATGTACTGACCCCAAATACTAATACTATAGTGGATTTGTAACTCTACTGGAAAAATAGTGATTTCTGTTGGTCATTATTCCTTTAATTAGTCTACTTACACACCACAGAGTGATAATTACACCTTTCTTTAACAGAAAATTGTCCTTTCTAGGAAGCCAGGTATTTCAAACTCGAGAGAGAAACACACGGGACATTGCTCTGCTCTTCTTCTCTCTTCTGAGCACAGAAAACAGACTTTACACTGTGACAAGTCCATTTCTGAACATGACTAGCAGAACATTTTTCAAAGTGGTGATATCTGTCTATTACACAGAAAGATGTGTATTTATTATTTGTCACTAAGACAACAGCTTTAGATGGCAGGATTAACTATTTCATATRTTCACAAAGCCTCTTCTGAGCACAGAAGTGAATGCAAAAAAGAACTCTACTTACTTTTTTTTCCAGAAGTTCTTTAATAAACCTGGAAAAGGGTAGAAATAAAGTTGCTATAAATCTGTCATYCATGTTATAAATTATAAAAAATATAAAAATATATATACTTGGATATCCTGTTAAACATTTTAGACATAGGTAAWTTTTTTACAAAAGTTGAGCCAGATTTTCATATGAAATAAAAAGAGGGAACAAAATGAACTCAGGATAGTGACACCAAATTATTTTAGCTTTAAATTTGACCCTGAACATGCAGGCTATTGTTTTTTCATTTGCAATRATTAGCATTAGACAAGTGGTAATTATTCTGAGTTCTCCCTGAAATCAAACACATGCTACATTAAATGAATTGAAAATAATTATAAGATACATTAGAGAGGAAAACACAAACCAAACTTAAATTTGCCTGTCCATGAATTTAAATTGTAGTGTCAAATTCTTTTAAAAGCCAATTTTCAAAAGATGCAGCAATATTTTATATCTTACAGGAGATGTATATGTCCTTGTTCACCTACAGAACCCTTTATTTTCTGGAAATGTTTATAACAGTGTTAGTGTACAGATGATCTACAAAAAAATAAAGATCTACTTCCTCTGTTAAACAAAASAAGCTACCTGAGACCTCTGCACAAAGGCCCAAGCAGTCATTACTGACAATGCAGAGGAGCAAATTAAATTTCCTCTGACTTTGGAAGGAGGAAATTCTTTGAAAGCCCATTTGTTCAGTGTCCATAAGTGACTTTTTTTCCAAAAGCCAGTTTGAGATGCTTTCTGGACAGGATCTCTGTGAGTTTCTATGTCATAGTTTATAGTAAGAAAACAGTAATTTTGATCACTACACACATTGTATCAATTTTACCAGATTATCTTCAGAGGGAAAAAAATAATAATGCTACTGGCTAGATTGACAACACTGAAGATAGTGCTAGATCAGCAGATGGAAGTAAGAAACTGAGCTCAACTTTTGCAATGACCAAATGAGTTAGAGGCCATCATTGTCTAATTTGAGGACCAAAATGCAAAGTGAATTAGACATCTGCCTGTCTCTCCTCCTATTGGTTAACCAGATAAAATAAAATATTCACTTGAGCAGAAACCCTGACAGAAGTATAATGCTCAGGGGAGAAGACAAAACTTCAATATGGCTGTTTTCATTCTTTTTCTCATTCTTTGAGCAGTGTGAGCCACTTCAGAACTGATGAAATATGATGGAAAACGCTCAGGAAATGAACCCTATAGTTTGTTGGCTTATGTACTTCTCTACAAGGAGAGAAGCTCAGCTTCAAGCTATTGTCTYCTGTAGCAGAAGAACAGACTCCAACATAGGTTCTCATCTTTCCAGGTGACTTTTAGTGCCATACATGGTAATTCAGATTGCAATGCCCTAACGTTTTATTAAAATCTCTTTGACAAAGAATRGTAGATACAGATTCTTGACTTGAATTTAAATTTAATAGATGAAGCACTTAGAATTGTACCTTACTTTCATGAATGCAATGTAAGTATTTCTGAAGGTAAACTGCAAGTCAGTGAGTGTAGTCCATTTTCTGACATCTCTCARATTCTTAAAAAAGCAACCCAAAAAACCTCAAAAAAACCCCAAAAACCAAACCAAACCTAAACATAACAAACYTAAAATGCTGCCCTCTTAAAGAAACAGCTTTTTCATCCTTCTGCAATGGTATGGCTGTGATTCAGGTAAGTACCCCAGATCCATGCCAAGAAGCACACCGCTCTCTTCCCTAGATGCTTCTTGTATTTGTAGCAACCTCTCACCCAAARCTGAGATACATTTCTTATTACACAATCAAAAAGGAATGAATTGGAGGCACAAGATAGGTATTTGAGAAAAAGCCATTTAGGTCATTCTGAAGCTTTTAAAAGTACCAGAACCAGAAGTTCTGCTGCTTTCAGGCCCATTTGACAGGACTTGCRCTGTATTACGAAAACTTGGGATTTACATAGCGGAAAACAAATGTTAGTAGGGTGAAGGTAACTATTACTACATATTTTAAAAATATGTTTAAAAATAMACACCATGACCACTTTTTATTTTAAAAATAAAATCATGACCACTTCTAACTTTCATTTTCATGCTTGTAGCCTGACATGTAAAAATAAGATAGCGACCTCTCACAACTGCTGTAATATATTTATATTACTCTTAGGTGTTTTTTGTTTCAGCATGACATTTGAAACATTAATACAAGTAAATAAATAGTCCCATGAGAAGAGCTGTATGTCTGCTTAATTTTCTGAGCATGGGCGTGAAAGCCAAGAGAAACACAAGACAGTAAGTAGGCTGCCATTCTCCAGTCTTGGTTCTCCTCCACTACAAAGATTGCCTTGATTTGATTCTCCTTCATTCTCTCAGCTGCATGTTGGAGTAGTTTGACTAGTGGTGTGATGGAGAAGAGATGCTTAAAATAGGATATATGAAAGCTGACTCCTACAACTTGACTAAAGGCTTCACCTGAATGGTAGAAGGAAATAGGTCAGAAGTTAATGGAGACAAAGGCACTGGCAGCCACCCCAGCATCCTGGGTCAGGTTACATCATCTGCACACACAGAGCTGTGAAAAGGCTGTGAAAGGAGGCAGAAACCACACRAATTCTCTCAAACCCTAGATCTGTGGCTACTTCCTCTCTTTGRAAAAGCCAGGGTGATGCCACTTGGGCTGTGCAGCAGCTGGGTATGCAGGAACTGCCAAAACTTTAAGAAGGAAAAAAACAAGTTCCTAATACATTCACACCTGTTCCAAATACATCCACACCTCTCTCTCTTAGTGAGTTTCACATTCACTTTTCAGATGTATGAAAAATCTTATTTTAAAAGGTTATGCCATCAATTTTATCGTTTTACCTTTCTGTCTCTTCGACAGATTCAGCAGTAGTCTCTTTGTATTCTGGCACCATATCATTCATATCCATGCAGACTTTTCCAACAAATGCTCGTTGACCAAATTTATCTGTTGAGATGCATTAGAATATAAATCTCAGAATCACTAGTTCTCAGAAACCACTATCAAAGCTTGTACTGGAAGTAAAAAATGAAAGTCCACCCACCCAGCTTCATTTAAATGAACAGAATTTATGCTCTTGTCTTATCTCTAAGCTGGGATAATTCAGGTGACTTTTAAGGACRAAAAGAAAGGAGGAAAAAAGGAAGCAAACAACACTTAAATAGGAGCTATCTTCCACATTAGTAATCAACCTWATAAATGAGAACTAGGTTACTGTAGTTTAACCACAACCAGAATTCATGATGGTGGTAAATTARGATGGCTGTGAAATAGAGGATGAGAAATACAAGCATCAAAATACAGCAGCTGCAGTAGAGATGAGGAAAGGCACAAAGATCTCAGCAAACCATCTATCCTTAAGAGAAAGGAACAAGATTGCTAACATGCCTCCCACATGCAGTTAAAGGGAGAAATTTCCAGATCTATTCTAGCCTTTCTTGAGATTTACCCATGCTAGATGAATAAATCAGAACTCATGTGTAAGACATGTATACAATATTCAATTCAAAGCTGTAAAATGTGTTTCTAAATCAGATCTTTTTGTCCACTTTTATTTTTTGAGTTGTTGAATGCAATGGCTTCAAAATTTTCCTACTAAATCAGAAAGACAAGGTAATTTTTGATGTTATCTGWTATCTCTGATGTTATGATATCTGAGGTTCTTATTAAATTTCTCTGCTTTGGGAGCTGTCTGAGCCTTTGGAAATCCTGCAAGAACCACAACATTTTCAAGGCATTTACAACTGTGAACAGAAGGGAAGGATAAGAATCTGATGAAGCTTCCACTTCTCCAGTTTCAGAGGGTGTGTGAAGATTTTTGACACTGATTTTCAGCCGAAATCTCAACGTATCAGGAAATTAATGCTCTGACTGGGTGTCTTGTCATTTAGTTCTTTCAATCCTCAAATAACAAAAGATTAGAAAGAGCAAAGAGTTGCATCTGGAGAACACATCCAGCAGACATAATTCAAGCTCAGGCAGCAGCAGATTTGGGAGTGAAGAGACAAGCAGCAGCAACTGAAGGACAAAGGTGCTTAAGCGAACAAGGGTGACAGGGGTTTGGGGACACAGTGTGACAGCTACAATTCACCAAAAACAATTTAAGAGAAAGACAGATCCCTAGCTAGCCTGAAACTTCTAAACTCAGTTTCCTACAATTAACATGATCTACACAACACCCTTCAACATTCACTGTTAGGTTTACCTGCAATTTCAGCAAGAATAAGAGAACTGTCTGTGTGAATTGTTGCAAAGTAGCAAGCCGTAGTCGTGCCATTCTTTAGAGTTCGTCTCTAAAAAAAGAAATCAGTTTCAACTGTCTGGAAAAAAAAAACAGTAAAGCTGCCAAAATGCAGAACAGCCAGTCTCATTTCAAACTGCAAGAACATTTAGTTATTGTGAAATTGTGCAGTGAAGTGAGAAGGTAAAATATAGATTTTTAATTTCATAATAGCTTTTTWAAGTCTGAGTGTTAATAAATACAATAATTCCTCACAGAATATTTGTAATATTTGTAAACCCATGGAAAYCAGTCTATGTTCCTTCCCCCAAACTGAAAATATTCCAACTTATATTTGGAAATACAAACGACTAGTCATTTTTTGTTATTTCCTAGTTATGAAAGGCTCTCCAATTTTTGCAGTGAAGCCTTATTTATCAAGTGTTATCAAAGGAAGGCTTTTGGTGAAAGCAGCAGTTTTCTTCTAGCTACCTGATCTGGCTGGAAAAACTAGTCAGGTTTTCATGTATCAAAATCTTCTGTTCTCCCCAAATACAAAGTAACAAACTTAACTGTAAAAGAAAACTGAGCACAACTGCTCAGACTACAAGGTAATTATCTATCTACTGAAAATGGAAATGATGAGTAACACCTCTTCATATTACTTTTGGGGAACATAACAGTAAATAAAGAGCAATTTTGGTTACATTAATTCATTATTAAGTTGGTAGTTTCTCTTGTCTTGGGACTGATGAAAGTATATGGACTACTTAGCTAACATACAGGTTTAAACTATATTTTTGGATTCTGGCTGCCATGCCAAGTAATTTGAAAATTTTCTTTACTTCTTTTTAATCAGATAGAAGGCAGGATATCAACACAATGTTTGAGAAAGGCTAGAGCTAATTATTTGACAAACACAAAGCCAAGCAAAACTGTCTTTTCTTAAAATATTCAGAAGAAACTCTTAGAGAGTTCCAAAAATCAGTCTCAAAAATAATAATGTCATTACTGAGACAAACTATCATTGTTCCTTACCTTTTAAAACTGAGAATCCTCTACTTCCGAAATCCTAACAACATTGTTAAATGAAATACAAAAATGCAATGTTTCTGAATCATCAGCATCAAGAGGAGGTTCCAGCTAAAAGCAGGAAAATTTCAGCTAACTTTTTTCTTTTGCTGAGTRTAGTAAGTATTTGCGGGAAGCAGCATTTTGATTGGAATAAATCCATTATGTTTTTGTAACAACTTCAAAAGCACAATGTTAAAAAAAAATCTGGTCCATGCAGGTTTAGTCCTGTTTCCAACAATTGAATGTTATTCTTGGCCCCATCAAACACTGTGGGGTGGCTGGCATTCTGCATCTTCTGTGGTGAAGACGTTTTCCTGAMGCTGTTTTATCTGATTCACATGGGCAGAGCCTGCTGCTGTGCTCAGGCTCCCACAGCCAACTTCCAGCTGGCAGCTCTTTTCCAGATGATTTTGTGAAACACCTTGCACAGCAAGCTCTTTAGCTCTGCTGGGTCCCCCAGTCCGCACTCTGACGGGACGTTGGGCACACAGTTGGACGCTGAGGTCACCTTATGGTTTCAGCAGCTGAAGCATGTGTGCTTGTCACTACAGCTTATGACCAAGCTGCTCCTACATGTTTTCATCATGGCAGATGGCAGAAAGCAATTTCTTTTTTAAATTTATGTGGCAAGGAACAGTATAACTATTTATTTCAGATTTGTTATTTTATTATGTTGACAACAGATGCTGTCACAGTAAGAGGTAAACGCAAGGCAAATTATGCTGGTCAAATAACTCAATCTGTTGAAGATATTTCAGTCCACACATTAAAGGATAAATTTCAGCTATAGGACAGAAGAAGTTAGCTGCTTGTTGTCCATCCAGCAGACCTTAAAATCTTTGCATTGCTCAGAATCAGTTTAGCTCACAGACTCTCTCTTTGTCCCACAATTTCACTGACAGACTCCATCTAAAGCCTCTGCAGTGAAAGACATTCCTATTACAAGGAGCTCAGCAGCAGAAATGTCTCCCTTTACCATTCCAAAAGACCCCAGATTTGTCATCTATGAGAAGCATCTTCTCTTTCATGTAAGTTTTGCAGAAAATTATTTCATAATATAGTTTTTTTGTGCAGAAAAGGAAATGTCCCCTGAATTTTGGGGGTTTTTTTCTACGTTTGATTATTTCTGCATTGAGGTTGTCCACACCTGCTGGCTGTACTGAGTGCAGTCTTAAATGTTAGTCATTGTATTCAGAAAAGGTGATAGACAAGTTAAATGTTAACCTCGTGATTACATTAATTACATTGCCAGCAGCAACAGAACAAGGCCGGAACTATTAACAGACAATCTTGGCTARCAATTAGAGCTGTGGCTACCTTGATTTTATCTGGTTTCCACAACAGTAAAACATGCTCTACACTTTCTGCTGACCTGAAAACCTATGTTACACAAAAATGAATATTGTCAAGTAGGTAAAACATCGTTTGCATGACTTACAACAACTCTGGTGTACACTTCTTCTGCAAAGCCATTGTCCTGGAATTTGGCTTCTGTTGGGAACGTGTAGGAAGTCAACCACTGCAGAAGAGGCAGGTCTACTCTCGTGCCAGTAAACGAGTACTGCGGGGCATGAATATGTGTATCAACCAATCCTGGCATGAAGAATTCACTAWGGAAAGAAAACAAAATTATAATAATCCAGAATGCCTCGAAACTGTCGACAGTAAGAAGCTTTGTTTTAAACAATACATTGAAATGAAATCTACAGAGTAAACAAATACGGATTAACCCACCTTTCCCAGCATCAGCCCACTAACTCCTGTTGTGCCTCTACCCACATCCATTTTTTGTTATGAAGCAGTTGAGTAATCACATCTACACAGTCAAATACAGATATCTAACTGTGAGAAAAACAATATAGGAGCATGATGAATCCAATTATCTCTAATATTGACCCACCCTAAATGCCAACAAATAAAGACAAACCAACTTCACAAAAACTAAAATTACTGCACTGTAGAAACCACCTGAAAAAGAGATTTGTACACAGTCTTACTTCCTAATATGGATATATATGGAATGCCTCTAGCTTCCAGACCATTGTATTTACAACATRTGACTTTCTAAGTGCCATTTTTCCTCTGTATTATTTATACATCCATATAGATATATGAAATCAATGGATTTCAAGGTTTAATGGAAGAATGGACACTGTGTCCAAAAACATAGACACAGGTGAAAAGAGCTCTGCTCAGTATCTTGTCAGGATAGGTATATTTACAATGGAACTGTAAAACTATATGTTGTCATGAAATGTTCATGCAATATCAACATTACTACACAACTATTTTGTTTTGTGCTGAACTCCTTACTGCATAACATTTCTCTGACTCCTCTTTGCTTCTCCCTGTCTACTGAATGAACTGAATTTTATCTCATTTAATTCCCATTCTTTCAGTTTTCTTGCAGGCTATAAATGCTGAAGGTCTTCCTCAAATGATCCATATTCTCAGCACCTTCCATTTTCCTCAGRCTATTTCAAGAGAAGAAAATATCTGGTGACTCATGTTCACTGTATGGTTAGACTTTCAGCAAAGCATACACATTTTTTAAAAACTGATAATTAGAAGGACACTGCAGCTCTCAATTCTAAGCCACRAGCTGTTTACAGTGTTATTACATACAAAGTGTAGTAGATAATMATTTGTAGTCCAAAATTATTTATTTTCACCAGAAATTTGGGGATTCCACTCACTGAAGAAAAAAGAAATTATCTAGCTGCAATAGAGTGAGCAATCAAAAACTGCATTTAGAAGGCTTAAATTTTCTAGTTGCATTAATTTTTATTATGGAGTGTGTCAAAGTCTAAGGAAATGAGTTTTATATCAGCAGTGTCATTATTACCTACATTTACCAAGGCTAAAGTTTCATGTAAGGCACAGCCCTTCGGTAACAAAATGGATGTAAAATGCAATCTCAAGAAAGAATGGCACTTACTGCTGTGAATACAGAAGTGGCCATGCCTGAAAATCAAATATGGCATTTTGTTCTGTGTGGTTCTATCCAACAGCACAGTTCAGCCACGTCTGCAGTCCCAGACCAAGGAAGGTGAAAAGCACAGGGACTGCCCATCCTCTGAGTCCCATCCAGAACTCAGGCAGCTTTGGGTAAAGAGCTCCCACTGCACTGAAATGGAGTTTTGCCCACTAAATTTATGGGCATTATATGGATTTGATGTGCTCCCTGCCAAAATGCATTCCAAAGACTTGCTTTACTCACTCAAAGAAGAAACTGCATTTGCTGAAATTAATCTAAACACAACACATACTGTTTACTCAGTTGTCTTATGTCAGAAGTTTTGAACCCCCACGTTTCAGCCAGCTGCTCTAGCTGATCAGCTTGTTCCATAAACACAATCTAAAAAAAAAAGAAAACACAGTTAAGCACTTTAAATGCACATCCCACATCAGCTTTATGTGAAGGCAAAACAAGTTACATTTCGCAACCTATTTCACCTGTTTACTATGAAGGTGTTAGGTTTGCATTGGAACACTTGCTTTTCCTGTCCATCAAGCACGATTTTGAAACGTTTCTCATAATCCGGTGAATAACTTCACCCACCTTGTAACTTGCATGGAACAGTTAATTCCTTCTCAGGTAGTACACAAGGCAGAACAGCACCGACCTCAGAGAAATCACGCAGTACAGTCACTTGGTGAGGAGGTGTACAACAGCCTTACAGGAATGCAATTACAGTATTCACAACCACAGGGGTCAAATTACTTGCTTTGCCTACGGCTGACTGACATCAAGCTAAGTAGTTTCTAATTTTCTGCTTGTGTWGGGCTTTTTAAATTGTTTCAGTGGCTAAGACGAGAAAAAAAAATTGAGGGGAAAAATGTGGATAATAATTTCATTTTACAGAACAGGCTAAAAGGATGCTGAGATCTTTATTTATTTCAAAATAAAACCCTACAGTCTGGAGCCCAAGTCAACTCATCTGACCCCTAGAGAACATCAGCTCTGTTGCCAAGTCAGAATTTTAGCACAGTTTCTATTTCTTTTTAAATTTCTTGATATTTTAATCTACAACACGACTCTTTGCAGCTGAATTCTCAACTCTTTGATTCTCTGTTCTATCAATAATAAGCATGACAAGTCCCCAAAAAGAAGAGACCGTGGAGCCTAGGAACTGGAAGGCCCTCTACAGGCTCCAGGTGGGATGCAAGTTTCCTCAACGCCTGACAATTTAGAGGACTCTCCCCTGGCCAAGGACTGCCTATCTGAGCTTACAGAAATTCTTGCCTAACAGTTTCTGCCATAAACAGTTCATTACACCCTTGGTGTAAGAGCTCATTTCCCTAAGGTGAAAGGAATAATCTTGCTGCTACCAGTACCCCTCTGCTCCTGGGAAGATGTCCACACTGAGGGCCTGTWTCGACCTCAAGACAGCAGTTTCTAGGGCAACAGTTAAAAAGAAAAAAAAAAATAAATCAAAAGGCAAGACCTGGTACTTGTAAAAGGGCAGTAGGAAGCAACATAGGTGGAAGAGCAAGAGGACCAAAAGAGTATTGTTTAGCCATTATTTGCATGCGCTTTTTTTATATGTGTGTTTCTTTTGCAAAGAAATTTACCATTTTCTGKTTTTTTCCATAGACAAAAATAAGCAAAGACTGCTAAAATGTAAAGGCTGCTAAACTGAAGACAGTAAGTTATTGGCTGCCTAGTCTTTAAAATGAGTTATGGTGGCAATGGTATGATTTATATTGTCTAAAAATATTTTRTATTTTTAGTCAGAAATAGATATTAAAATAATGTTATATAAATAAATATCACTAGCAAAAATTATAGTACTCCATTATTAGTTCACAAGAAGCAGTATCATCCTCCTTCCAAAGAGGAATACAGCCAACTCAATTACTGTATAACTGCAGAAGGTTTGGAGTACAGATTTACTGAAATGTCTGACGTGCAATAAAGAAAATGTTATCCAAATACTGAAGTCAAAATGGATGCAGAATGAGCAATGTTAGAGCTGCTGGTGGGGAGACTGGCGAAGATGGAGGAAAAAAAAAAAAAAGAGAGAAACATGAAATACCAGATGACAAATTCTGGAAACAGGCGTTGCCATGGAAAAGCAGTGGYTGTTATGTATTCTGAGGGTGCAGAAAAATAAAATACTTAAAAATGAAGAAAATATGTTTCAAGGAAGCTGGATACATGAAATCATCTCTAAACCTGACACCTGGCTCATTATGCTCAAATGAGGCTATGGGTAAATCAACAAGACATCTACACTCTTTTCAAACAAACTTCCCAATGGAACCCCTTCATCAGCAAAGGGTTATTCCCCATTAATTTAGGATACATTTGCTTTAGACACATTTCCAATACTTAGTACTTTAAGGTCTTTGGGACCCTGTGCTTGGATATTTGCTCCTTGCTTGTGCATTCAACGTGACCAAATTGGTGCCGTGCTCTTTAAATCAGTTATGCACCTCAGCACAGTAGAAGCAAGAAAAAATCTTACAGCAGTGTCACTACAGAATCAACAGGAGTTCACAGGAAAGACTAAAACCTTCAGCTTTAAAGAAGGAAGTCAAGGAAAATAATTGGCACGTGGGGAAGGGCGTATCACAACATACAGAGTCAGAGGCCGCTAGCACARCTGCCCAAACACTTCTTTAGGTTCTTGTTGTTGCCCATGTAACAGTGCTAAAGGATCCAAAGAACAGGGGTAAAGATTCCCCTCGTGACTAACTCAGGCCTTCTTCATTGCAAGTGTTTCCCAAAGCACTTCCACCAAAGCTTGGCTGATCAACTAAACAGCACATCGCCCCCGGTGTGGCAAACCCTGCGCCTCCAAGGGCAAATGTTTTGCTTACAAGAGACTGGGAAGTGAATGACACTGTCTGAAGGAACGTGGGCTGTTTGGACACAACAGCGCCTGTCTTTGTTCCTGGCTAAGGTGAACATGATGAGGATGAGGAGGAATCCATTCCTCTTTCCCTTCCCGCATGCTCTCTTCCCTTTGTTATTTCCACAGTGATTAAATGAGTTTTGCAATAAGAGACATGATGCCTATTGCTTGCCTAGTTCCTAAAACTGGGATGTGAGACTGAATGAGAACAAGAACACTCAGCAGACCCAGCTGCTGGAGGAACTGCTGGACTTGCTGAGCAAGACCAAGAAATGWAGTCCAGATGGACGGTGGCACCTTGGCACCTTCCTCCTTCTACAGCTGACACATGTCCTCCGGTCCCAGCTGGCTTAAATCAAACACTTTCACTCAAAAATATTAACCCCTATTCCACAAAACTTGCTCTTTTCATGGCTTCCACAGGAGCTTTTAGCTTATATGTTTTCTGTTCACTTAATATTCTACTCACATAGGATAATTACACCAAGATTTCAGTAACAACTCACATTTTGCACCTATGCCTCTTTTCTTTACCCTGAGGAATGCTGCYCTTTCTATTTGCTGCTCCTCAAGAGAGACACTACACTGCTCTGCAAACCACTCAGTTACACATGGTCCCTACTTTGATAACTTGATGATAATATGGGTTTTCATACYCAAAAGCAGTGCTTTTCTTCATAAAAACTCATTTCATGTGGAGCAAAGCAGAGAGAGATGACATTTTACGTCCCTTGGAGGGCATGCAGAGACTCACACTGCAAGGACCCAGCTGTTCATACAGCTGATCTCTTCCCAGCGTCAGAGACCACGCAAGATTTTTCCATCATGGAGTCAGCARCATGAGGCAAAAGAACGATGCCTATTTAGTAAAATTTACATCTTTGGGAGAAATACAGAAGCAGTTGTAGTGTAAATTTGAATAATAAAGGTAAGCWATTTTCTTTCTTTCTTGAATAGCCAACTTTTCTGTGATCCCAGTGGTTCCTCTGAATGAGGCTACATTAGGAGTAATGTGGGTGAAGGTAGTATATGGGGTGCTCACTGTATTAGCCCCTGGAATATTAAAATTCCAAGAATTTGCAGTAAAAAGAGAATAAAATGAAATTGCTTGCTACTGTACTCTGGTACAGTACTGGAAATTTTATTTTAGGAAAATAGTGGTTTAATGGAAGTTTTTTTAAAAATAACTTCTGTCAATTTATGCAAGGGAAACAGTATGCTGTGAATCTTTGTTCCCTAGAAGAAGGAAAGAGAGTGAGAGCACAGATCCTTAGGTGCAGCTTACTAAGGAAAGAAAAGAAAATAACTACAAAAATCTTGATTTCCTATGGATACTGTGTAGAGACAATTTTCCAGAAATTGTCATTAAAGAGAGTGAGATAGGGTATGAGTTTCTGTCTTCTGCACCTGAGTTACAGCAGACAAAGATTTTTTCATTCAACTATATTGTTTCAGTGAACAAGACATAATTATGCAGATTTAGACTCCCCTCTTGTACATGAAAATTCAGCTTCTCACAGACTTTGATACACCTTGCACCAGAACAGCTATGAAAGGCTGTATTAATACAGCCTGGACTGGTGTRAAAGGAGAAAATAAACACTGTTAGGGCTCAAAATGCTCTTTGCACAGATTTCAAGCGTTACTGGAGTCTGACACACTGTTATTTAACCACAAGGAAAAAAAAAGTACTTTCTTAAATGTTACATAGGGTGCCCATGCCTACACAACCTACACYGTGAAACTGAGTTTCAAGTGTGATACTGTTAAGGGAATGACATTGCTTCCCTGCCAGACTCAATCCTGCATTATCAGCAAGTGCAATGCTTGTTTTAAGCTTGGCTCATGCTACTAACATGCCCAACAACACCATTTTTCTAACTCTTCTTGGGTATATACCATGGGAGGGCAGGGGTTGGTTTGTGACAAGAAGACAAAAAAGCCCCGTTGAGCCAGCTGTGCAGTTGGGTACACAGCAGTTATTCGCAATCACTATTTAGATATTTCGAGAATGAAAAAACAACTTGTGAAACTGAAAGAAAACAGAAAATCTGAAAGAATGCCAGGTCAAGGCACGCTGGTGTTCTGAGAACACTCAGCACACCTAAAAAGCTGATTTAAGCCAACTGCAGACTCGTGCCGAGGAGACGCTCCATCCCGCTACCTGAAAGTCCCGAAAGTGCGAAATTCCTTCTCCGCGGCGCCTGCCCCGACAGACAAGAGTGCGAACATTTTCCACCTTCTCCCCAGGGACCGGAGGAGCCGGCCCTGCCCCTCGCCRCCCCCGAACGCGGACGCGGGGCCGAAAAGGGTCATTTTCAGCGCCCTCACGGACCCCGCGGCAGAGAGGGGCTCCCGGGACCCCCGCCCCGCGGAGGGACCGCCGGGCATCTCCCCCGCCGCCCGCCCGGCCAAGAACCCGCCCGAGCCCGCACTCACTGTCCCGTTATCGTCCACCCCCAGAAGGTGCCCGTGCAGGATCTCCACGGGGCTGAGGGCCGTGGAGTGCACGAAGGTCCCCTTGAAGACGTGGGCGAGCGGCGGGCGCTGCGGGGAGCACATGGCGGCGGCGGCGGGCTCGGCGGGCACGGACTGCGAGCTGCCACACCGCGGGCTGCCTCCCCTCGGTGTCTCACGGTGCCGCCGGCGGCTTCCTGGAGCTGTCACCATTTCCCCACCCCCTGGTGACTTTCTCCTCGGGGAGTGGTTTCGGCGCAAGGAGGGCGGGAGGCCGCGCCGCACYCTCGGCCGTCCCCCACGCAGCCGCCCGGGACGCGGGCGGGGATGCCCCGGGCGGTGTGCGGGGTGTACCCCCTGAACCCTCGGCCTCCCCGCTGCCGATCCCCCGTCCCAGGCATGTGTCCTCCCTCGTGCAAGAGGCGCGAATCCCCGGACCAGTGCCCGGCGGGTTTTGCGGTCCCACTTACGACCTGGGAAGCAGTGAAAATTTGGCGAGGTGTCTGATAGTGCTTTACGAGTGTCTGGCAACTCACTTTTGCAAACAGCCTGCGAGTTGTGACCACTTGCAAAAGTTTAATTTACAAAAAGTTGGATTTGTAGTTTGGAGAAGATCTTTAAGATCTTCAAATCTCAGACTGTCTCGTGTATCCTCAGCCTCTGTCCTGGGCGACAAAAGRGTGCGGGAGCAGAGAGCGGGTGCCGGCTGAGGTACCGGAGCTACCAGAAACAGGCACCCTCACTCAATGGAGATAGTCTGCAGAAAAGGAGAAAACAACCTCAGGAAAATCAAAGGCAGAGAAAAATTACTTTTGTTAACTTAGAGAAATGTGTCCCCAGAACGATATTCTGCTCCAACAACCCAGGTCAAAGTACCAAATGAACATACACTGAGAGGATCTCTACTGAGAGTATTGGAATAAAACTTGGCAGGGGCAGAATTATCAAACACATGAGGGACAACACCATGAGTGTCCTCAGAACTCCTGCCCTAAGGCACCTTTATTCATCAGCTTGCCAAGTGATGAGTGAACTTGGCACCAAGGRCACTGGCACTATCGCTCTCAAGGCTGCATTGCAAAGTTTGTCATTACATGGTTTATCATTAAAAGACCTTTGCACTTCCCGTTGTGCTGACACTCTACAAATGCATGGCAGATTACCTTTCCTACAAACTCACAGACTAATGGTGGGAGGAGTGAGAAACACAGCAGGAGAGCACAGAATAAATTTAATTTTAGCCTGCAATGGGAAAGTCATCAGTCTTTATCTTGCCTTCTTTTCATCAGAATGTGTTAGGTTGCTGAGAATGAAATTTAAAAAACACTGGATTTATTGGAATCAGTAAGATGATCTTACCTAAATTTTGAGATTAGTTAACTCTGTCAATAAAGAGTGTCCAAAATAAAATGGACATGTGAAAGTGACTTTTTCTTACTTATATTGGCAATTATTGTGAGAGGTCTTGTAGTTTAAGAAAATTCACAATGAGATAAAATTGGGTTTTTAAGACATATGGCAGGTTTTTATTGTACTCCTAGTATCTTTGGCATGAGAATCTAGCACACAAAACAAATCACAAATAAATCTTGCAGATTAATCTAGTTTGGAGAAGAAACTGGCACAAAAAAATCCTTCAAGCAGTTCAGTCTGTTTAAAACACAATAACATTTTTTGTTTCTTTGAAGAGAAGAGTAATATTTTTTTTATATTTTTTTATATTTTTTTAATAGCACCAGAAGACTTCTAAATTAATACTTGCAAAACCTCTCTTCTCAATTTGTTTCTCAGGGTGATGCTGTTGTGTTTGTGAAGGCTACATTTGAAATAAGCTGTATTCCAAGCCATTACTCCAGGCAAGGAAAATTTTCTTTTGTTGCAGGAGGGAAAARGAGTGGGGGAAAGGCTGGTTTTGCTGCTGAATAATAAGGTGAATGGAGATGAGAAATGGAGTGAAGGGACCAAGACCTGCTGGGGTAAATTCACTCACTCCCTCTTTGAAGAGAAGAGTGAAAATAACTTTCCCCAGCAACAGCGGCTGCTGCTACACAGCTTTGCCCCAGTGGCAGCAGCCAGAACAAGAGGTCCGGATTTAAAGYCAAACGCTGTGTGTAGCCTGATTTGCATCAAGTGAAGCTCACAGCTGCCCTAGGGTAGCACACRGGACAGGTAAAACAGAGTGGCTGCTGCTAGAAGACTCATTCACACTGTTGTCCAAAATAATATTCAGCAGAGCTCATTGTTCCTGAGGACTCCTTTGGCTGTGAATCTCTGATTGCTTCAGCCCCGGTTTTCCAGGGATTGCCTCCAGCTTCCTTACAAAAAGAAGCGCAGTGGTTTGAGTAAAATGTAATCCAGACAGTATTTATGTAAGAGAAGAARACCAAAAATATAAACAGTTGCTTCCATTTGCACTTTTAGGGAAGAATGTCGGTAACAATGCTTATTATTTTTTTTCTTTGTTTTGATTTTAGTGTAATCCAAACACTCTGAAATTTTATAACTTCATGGTCAAAAGAACTGTCAAAAARAGGTCTCTATTGCTTTTTCCAGCTCTCATGTGGGAGAACATAGGAGCTGTAGAAAAATGCTGGYGGAAGAAAGGTTAACACCCTTCCCTTCTCCCGGAGTTTTTTTTTGTTTTTAGTTTGCAACAGTTACATGCGCATGCCCTCGATACTTGCGTGAGTCAAGGTGAGACCTTGGCCAACTATGAAAAACTGAGTCACTGTTCCAAAATGTTGTAGGGCTGAAGTATGTTTAGTTTTATTGGGATGAGCTGGGCTGGGCGCTTTACCCTCTGGGACAGAAATGTAATGCTCTGTTGTGACTGCTCCATAGTAATTAACTTAARGAATAAATGAAATACCATGTTCTTTTTTTCTTTTTCTTTTTTTTTTTCCCTTCCAAAATAGTTTAGTTGGAGAGAGACATTTAGCTTCTGATAAATTATGCTATCAGTATTTTTTTAATAGCATTTAATATTATCATATATGTGTCAATACATTTAATAATTTCTAATGTGTATTTTGAGCTAATACTGTTTTTTAAAAAGTCTGTCTCATTATTCAAATAGCTTATGAGACTCTCTAAGTCTTCTAAAATAGTCACTTATAGGCAATTATAGAGATGAGTCTTTAGGTGAATCTTGAAGCCTAACATATTCTGGATTAGAAGAATAATCTGATAATGTGTTTCCAGGAGAACAGGGACAGGTTTTAACAGGATTAGAGAGCCTTCACTCTCCTTAGCACTTACCCTTTCAGATCCTTTCTTCAATTATCACATTCTATGAAGGAAGAATTCAATTACTTGTTTCTAAGTCTCAGAGCAGCTAAGGTGATCCTGCAACRTCTGAGAAATATAAGAAAAGGAAACCTGCTTCTCCCCACCACTTTCAAAATTAAGTTGATGGAGTGCTTTTCATGAGCCTGTGGAGGTCAGTGCCTGTGCAGCCTGAGTGCCAGGGTACGAGAATTATTACTCTGATCTAGCAATTAATGTTTTTATAGCATTATGATCAAAATGGACCTTGTCCGTAACTTGTAACATAGCAACTAGATAAGTGGAGAGGAAAAAACCCAGTTGATTTATCTGCTATTAATTGATTTTTTTTTCTGTATAAGAAAGATTATACAGCTAAGCCTTGGCATTATTCAGGGGGGGAAAAAAAGAAAAAGAAAAAAAGAAAAAAAGAAAAAAGTGAAGCATGACAAATATCTACTCCCAAGTGAGAAATTAAGTTGGGAGCTAGCTAGTTTTCTCAGCCTTTGGTACCCAAGTCTACCAAGGCTTGGGAAGGCAAGGCTCAGAAACCACCAGGGGAAGCTTGATTTGCCTTCTAATGCTGAAAAAGAGGCCAGTACTGTCATAAAAGGCTAGTACGGTCATAACAAAAACCRTCATTAGTAGTTAGAGATTGCCTGATGTTGATTCTGACACCCATGAAGTCCTTCTGCTTTACTGCCAAGGCATGCTCATAACAGGGATTGCATTAACTGAGCCAGAGAAGTTCTTAAGAAGAGCCAGGAAATACTGCACAAATACCAATAAAATCCATATTTCAGTAAAGTACAAGTATCAATGGGTGAAATATGTCAGAAGATTTTGTTGGCAAACTCATTTCTATTTCCCACAAGACACAAAGCATGAATCAA